TATTTTACGGACATAATCAGGAAAGAAGTTGACAATGGAAACATCCTGGGTGCTGTTTTTATCCATCTATCAAAAGCATTTGACACTGTCAGTCATTCGTGTCTTCTTAACAAGTTGCCGTCTTATGGAATTAACAATAAGGAGCTTCACTGGTTTACTGATTATTTGTTTGCTCGAACGCAATCAGTTCAATTCAAAGGTGCTTTGTCAGATGCCAATCCCATATTTTCTGGAGTTCCACAAGGAAGTATATTGGGTCCGCTATTGTTTACTATCCATTTTAATTATGTGCATACGCCTCTTCAGTCAACCTCAATCATCACTTATGCGGATGATACAGTAATTTTCACGGCTGCTAAAGATCTGGAATCCATTCAAAGGCATCTCAGTGAAGATTGTCACAACCTGTCTTCTTGGTTTCGTGATAATGAGCTTGTCCTTAATCTAAAAAAGGGCAAAACTGAGTGTATGACCTTTGGTACTGCCAAAAGGCTTAATGCATTAAATGGAAGACAACTAGCCTTGACTGTAAATGGAACACTGATTAATACCACGTCATCCTATAAATACTTGGGTGTAAACTTGGATTCATCCTTAAATCTCGAATCACATTTTGACAAAATCTATAAAAGAGCAGCAGGAAGATTTATTTTACTCAGGAGAATCCGACCTTTAATCGACAAGAGCAGTGCTGAGAAAACCTACAAAGCAATGATTCAACCTGTTTTTACGTACTGTGGAACTTTGGGTCTCTGTTGGTCACGTTCCCGTAAGAGTCGAATTGAAAGCATTGAAGGTCGAAGTCAGAAAGTCATTGGTGGAAATTATCAAGTCCAGACAGTGGAGAGTTTAATAAAGAGCGAGTCCTGCCAGCTTGTGTTTGATTGTCTTCAGGATAACGTCTGTACCCCTTTTAAAGGATATTTTGCAAAAATTGAACACAACATTAACACTAGAAACAATGGGTGTTCAGTAAAACTTCCCAAAGCCAAATTAGAATTTGGTCGGAGAAGTTTTGCCTTTCAAGGGGCTCTAGTTTATAATACTTTACCTCGGCATTTAAGAACTGTAAATTCTAGGTTTCTTTTTAAGAGTAATTTAAAACAATTTTTTCAATAGTATTCCATAATTCATAACTCTTTTCAGTCTTGTAAGTCGATGATTTTTACAGATTTTGATTTTTAAATCTTAGATTTCTTAGTGTTATTTTATTTTATTTTCCTTTTTCGATTTTATTTTTTATTTTTTAGCTATTTATGAGATAATTACAGGACCCTTTTGATAACAGTTCTTTTTATTAGAACTGATAGGTTATCCTGTATAAATATTCGCGTTATTATTATTATTATTATTATTATTATTACTGTAGTATGGATTTTTGGTGGGTGGCGAGGCGCCGCCAAGCGTTTCTGTCAGCAGCCGTAGCAATCCAAAGCTTGTCCCCTCCTCGGCGCTTCCGGCTTTGTGGCGAGTACTGTACTCCAAATTTTATGATCTTTGGTTGGCGGTGGTTGATCTTGTACCAAGTTCTCTCATTGACCAATCCGAAGGCAAGATCTGGTCAAAGTGAGAAAATTCAATTTTTTTATTTAAATACCTAGATTGTGTTGCATTTGGAAAGGCGCGGAGAGGCCTGTTGTTTCGAACTGGTCTGACTTGGCGAAACTGGCCCTTGCGGAGCTGCCTGATCCTGTAGGGCAACAAAATTGTCCATTATTGTCCACAGTCTCCTCATACTCACCTGCTCAAGGCTATGGACAAGTCAGCGAAAGTGTTATGGTGTACTATGGCATGTGTAACAGAATTTTCGTAGCGCAGTTTCTGGGTCAAAGCCAAAAATGAAAGTCGGATCGCTTGTAATCGGGCGGAGAAGAGGGCAAACAAAGAGAATCCAATATAGCCACAAGTCGTAAGTCGGTTTTATTTGTTATCGATTTATCCCATCGCCATTGATTTCCGTAAGACACCCTCAATACTCGAATGTTGTTCTAGATATCAGTCGTAGACAGTAACTTAACCATTTATTGATCATCACATCACTGGTCACGTTAGATCATCCAAAAAAGTAGGGGAACTTTTAAGAGTTCTCCCAAAGATTTCTCGCTGACTTTTACTAGCCTTACTAGCTTTTCACGCTGACGACACACTTCTTTTCCTGTGGGGACTCACTAAGAGGACAGTGCGTAAATTAGAAATTGGGTCCATTCTTAGTACACTGGACCGACAGTCCACGCTTTTACAAGAAGCTGGCCTTTTGATCAATTAGGCTGTGCTAAAATGGCAAATCGGTAATGGTTTATACATCAACTAAACAGAGGAAACGCACTTTAGTTTAGTTCACTGGAGTTAAATTCCGAATCACTGATCAAATCTGCACACTCAGCCGATAAATTTGGTTTAGCCACCCTCCATGGCTTTTACATATAAAATGAAATGTCGAGAGGTTAATGCGTGCAGAAGAAGAGTCGGTTGACACTCTCCATCGATATATCGGCCGATTATCGATCGGACGAGTAACGATCGACTCTCATCCGATTATTAATCAGTTAAAGATCTTGCTATTTTTTTTAGTCAGATGTATCAATACATTTGTAATTGTGTTAGGCGCAACACAAATATTACAAAACACCTCATTTTTATCCATTCTGTGAAAAAACATCACACTCATGTACTTTAATAAAGGTAGTTAACGGTAACCTGCTGTTTTTTTCAGATGCGTGAAGAAACAAAACAAAAACATTTAACTAGACATTTTCTTTCAAAACTAAAGACTTTCATTTTAACATAAGAGTTTTCAATTGTCAGATTTGGCTGTCTCTTTATTAAAACAACGTCAAATAAGTTTTAAATAAGAAAACATGCCTCAAGAGACATTTACTGTCTCTTGGTAACGACATTCTTTCTAAGTACCTTTGAGATTTCCCTTGGATCTGATTTGTACATTCTACGCAGCACAGCAGAACAGAAAGGGTCATTAAGAAAGAGAGAACTCTTTATAGAGAGCTAAAATAAGGAAATTCAGCTTTTTCTGAGGTAAGAACTGACCGTCGACAATTCTGTTGTACGATGTTTATTGAATTCTCACTGGATTACTTTATTGCGCCCTCAAATGCAATCTTAGCTGTTTCTTAAGCAGTGTTAACAGAAAAAGATGCTCTTGAAACGAAAAAAATTAAGAATGAAAATAAATCTTTCCCTCTGGAAAGACAGTAGTAAAATCAAATAAGATCTTACACTAATCTTAGACGTCAAAACTCATGGAAAAAGCATTGAGTCGTTTTAGATTCTTCTAATCTTAAGACACTTTCTTAAACAACGACTCTTGTAATTGCTTTCGATATAGAAGTATCTACCGTTTATGTTAAATTTATACCATTTTTAGCTTTCATTTTTGTTAATTTGAAGCTTAAAAAGGCTATTGGCCTTTGAGCCATACTGATACACAAGTATTCCAAAATTTAGAAATTCATTTTAGCCAGGAACCATTTGTCATGTCTCTCACTTATTTCGAGTGGAAACATAACGGGAGTCGAAGTTTTAATTCAGCTTTCAGATGAAAATTACTCAGTGCTACAGTAGCATTCATTCCACGAAACTGATATTGAAGTGAACTGCGAAACTTCTGATTAAGTGAAGATCCTAAAGGCTATGTTGCTGCATTTAAAAAACGTCTCGAAGAAAGATTTAAAAAGCAGAAAGCAAAAAAAAGGGGAAATAAACAACAACGACAACAGTAAGAAAGCAGGAAAACAGACGATAAAGGCTCCCTAAGGGTACAAGATCGAGCGTAAAACCGTCTGAGAACAATACGATTCGATCTGAGAAACTTCACAAGTTAAGTAAAAGCGAGACACGCAATTCAACCAACAATTCAACCCGCACAAGTACAGGGAAAAATAACTTACTTTCTAACTCACAGAAATAATTAATATTCTGCTTCTAATAGAGTATCATCGGTTGATGTTTTTTGTGCTTCTGTGCCAGGTGTGTATGCAAAAAAAATACATTTGACTGAATCCTGACCCCTAAACCCAAAATAGTCTGTGATTCCTCAATTTTTACTTCAGTGCAGCTTATACGTGAACCGTGCTTACAACGAGATGACTAGTAAGATTTTAGGTTCAAAAGTCTAAATTATATCTCTTTTGAAAAGGAGTATTCAAGGATAAATCAAATGACTGTTCACTGGAAATTATTTTTGGCAAATTTAAGGACTTGCTTCTTTAGGCGGCATTAGCAAGTATCCCTGCAAATGTAATTAAAAGGGCCTTTTTTTACGTCAGTAGCTCGAAATAGTTATCGTCTATCAAACAAACCTGATGCCGAAGGTGCGCTCATTTAACCTCCCGTCTCTCTCCATCAGAGCTCTGTTTTTAAGAGTATTTATACAGCTACTTAGAAGCTACACGGAAAGGAAAGCAGTCGCGAAAAGGATTTGAGGAGACATCTGGAATTAAATCGAACTCGGGACCTTTCGCACAGAGCTATAGGGTTGCTCACTAACCAACTGTGTCAATCCCTACTCCTTCAGTTGGCATCAAATCACTCAGTAACCATGTCTTAGTCTATCGGAGGGAGAAAGTGACAAGTTCGTTCTCGGTTAGCCTCGATGAATAACATGCATTCAAAGACAGATTGCAGGCAAAAGGTCGAGACTTTGACGGTAAATAGCCGAACTGAAACGCATGTCCGACACACATAGCTGACTGGAGCAGATTTGTTTGCGAAGTGAGACACAATACGAATGTTTTTTCCTTTTTTACAGTCTCATTTTTAATTTAATGATCGAAATCGCTTCCATTTTCTCTCTAAAATACTTTTGTCGTTGCAATTTATCGCCAGAAGCTTTTCTTAAATCACTAAAACGGTCAAGAAGAAGTTCGTCGCGGTCGGTTGCTTGACAACCGTCTCCACCCATCCTAAGATGGATGCTGATATATATTTAGCCGATTTTGTGAAAACCAACCTAGTAACCAAATTTGCAGTCATTTGAGTGAAAAATGGCCAAACGGAAGAAAGGAGAAGAAAAGAAAAAAACAATGGTTACTATCTTGGTTTTTATAATGGCTACTTTGACGGAAGAGGTCTGTTTGGTGGCAACATTTTCAAATATAAGGCGTTCTTGTCGCTTGAGGCCTTAAAATAGATGTATAAATCTAGCCCCCGGCCTTGATATACACATCTAGTTTAAGACCTCAAACCTAGGTGACAAAAAGGCAGGTAAAAACCTCTAATTGCAGAGGTCCACTCAAAGCGTAAATAAAACAGACTGGTTCGTTCTTGCCGGATCTCTAATGTAGAGATGCTGCAGTACTTGAAGTGGGAATTCAAGCAAAACTGAATGCATAGTTAGTTTGGCCCCAAATAAATAAGCCCAGCGCCAGCCTTACATTCAGTTTTGCTTTAACAACAACGCAAGGTCATGGGGGTATCTGTAAATCCTTTGAAATTTGGTCACAATTTCGTTTTTTCACTGCCACAGAATGAAATAAAATGTCAAAAACGTTTATCTTTGCGATTTACCCATATCGCCTTGCGGTCTCATCGAGAACGCTTTTCGAGGTCTACAAGGTGAATTGAAATAGCTGTAAAGTCAAACCAAGGTCCCACTACGCTAAACGATCCACGCTCGATCCACAAGCGAGGTAAAATTTCCACTGACAAATTTATAAACCTTGCTTCGCAACTAAACAATTTGAAAAATGAATAAGAGAGGTGGTCAATGATCAGTGGTAGCAATTGAACTATGCAATAATAGATTTTCACGGAACGAAAGTTGGTTGTTGTTTTGACATTCCATATCAAACCTTTTATTCGGCCAATCAACTACAAGGTTTTGCTTTATTGATTTTTTTTTCCAGGACCAGTTTCAGATGAAGGCCTGGGTCCTGTTAATAGTGTTAATACCGCTGATTACCTTCAGCAATGGACGCACCAGATTCCGCATGGTTGAATATGACGAAGACCAAGGCCACTCTAGGGCTTATGGAGTCTGCATGAGGCAGTGTAAACGTGAATGCTTAAACAACGAAGGAGAATGCAAACATCACCCTCAGACACGGGAGCTCATTTGCCGGCAGGGTCCAAAAGATGGCGACTGGAACGGCTTCAAGACCTTCATGGATAAAAGGGGTGTCACGAAATGCGAAGATTTTCTTGAATTGAAACCTGCATTGAAAGAGGACGAGACCAAAAGCAAACACTTGTCATTTCAGCCGTCTGAGATCTGGCAGTTATTTGAATGAGTAATTGAACAATCGATTGGGTGTAAAAGGTCTATGGAAAGAACGGGAAACATGTCACTGTAAGCTTGTTGTTGTATTAGAAGATGTTCTGTAGCTGTAGATGTGCATCCTCCTGATCTTTTGTTAAAATGGTATTTAGTAATGATATTTAATATTGAAAGCAACGCAAAATTACTGCAAGATTTATCAGGGAATAAATTTACTGTACTTTACTTAGCTGAGAACATTTCTCTTAGATTGGTTTATCTGAATCTCGACCTTTAGAATTAGAATTGTAATCTGTACCAGAATGCTTCGCCGGAAACATCCCCGACTTTTTTAGCGCCCGCTAATATCTTGTGTCATTGTTTTGCAACCATTAGAGAAATTTCGTTAAAAGCAACAAAAGTCTCCTGAGGAAACAGCCATAGCCACGGTTAACATGGTTATTTAAGTTGGATGTTGTAGAAGGAAAGTTACCAATGCAGACCGACTCTCTTTATATTTGTGTAACTCTTTGCAAAGTATTTCCATTTTCGGCCTCAAATGTAGCTATGTTGACACTCTTCTACTATGGGACCAATGCCTTTGCATAAAAAAAAAATCTCGAGAAATAATTATTATAAGCACTAGGTCATTATCGACATTATCATGTGGAGTTGGATATCGGGATCTCGCCGGAAATGGTATATGGTATATTTAACAATTATTCAGTAAGACTGAGTATGATGTGAAGAATTATGTAGATCGAAGAGGATGTTAGTGGAGGTGAATAACAGCCTCTTATATCCGCATGATTATTTTAAAATTAAATATCATACGAAAGACTGCCCTGGGTGCCAACCTCGTTCTCAGGTTCTCTCTAGAGGTTGCCCTGGATGCCAGAGGTTTTCTTTCTTTGCTCGGGTTATTCCATCCCAGGGTTTCGAGAACGCCGAAAGCCGAATTCAGTAATTTTGTTTATTCAGGATATGTCTAAGTCCTTAATAACCCTAACTCCTCGTGAATATTTGCCTCTTTTTCTCAGCACAGTTTCAGGATAAAAACAAAAGTGTTTTTCTCTTGCTGATATTCCTCAAAAAGTAGATGAAATCCATTGTGACAAGATGTTTTACATATTTTTGCATTTCGTTCGTTCAGTTTTAGTCAGAAACTCGTCTTCAGATAGCAGTGAACTCTTTCGCCATTATTTTTAGGTTAATCATACATAAACAGCAAGGCTGCCGCTCCACCGCCTGGAGAATAGATTGGATTCGACAAGGCAATATACCATGATAGTGTCGATGGTATATTGCTAGTATTTTTGGTCCACGTTAGCTGGTTATGAAGAATTAGCAAGTAAGGGGATTTAAGCCAATCAGAAACAGCAAAATATTTTAAGGGAAAATTATACACTATCACCAACTTAGTTTAAAAGTCAACCATTTTGGGTTACACCTTTTACGTTTTCTAAAAAAAAAAAAGGCACGCTTGAATTCATAATAAGTCTTTGAATGTACTGTGATTCGGTCAACACAGGAACATAAAACTCCTTGGTCTCCATCAGAACCATTCAGAATAACCCTATGAAAAAAACAAAGATAAAGACGTTAAAATAAAAACCAATTGGCCAAAAAAAAAAAATGAAGCTTGAGTACTCACACGCTTGCTTTAATTGGTATCGATCGTTGTTATCCTCGACCTCTTAGCCATGATGAAAACCATGAGGACCATGAGCTAACAAGAACAGATAACGAGTCACGATTATAATGTGAATTTATGTTTAGAAAATGGTCAATTGATTATGAGGAATACAGTGGCGGCTCCACGGGAGGGGCCCAGGGGAGCCGGGCTCCCCCTTAGTTTTAGGCTAAAATGAGGCCGCCGCCCCCCGCCACCCCCCGCCGGAAATTGTCTCTGTATCCGTGTTTTCTAAAGTCTTAAGCTTAGATTAATTGTCATGTCCACAAATTTGGAATGTATAGCAAGAGATAGACCAAGAAAAAGAGAAAGTAGGCGGCAGGCCAGCGAAGCTCAACAAGAAAAAGGGCGACAGAGATCTGGAGAGAGAGGTAAAAAACAAAGGAGACATTTTTTTGTTGAAAGAACAACATGAAAATTTTGTAGCGGCGGTAACAAAATGAGACAAAATTCTTAAGAATAACTACAAGTTATACGGGAACCACAACTGTCGCTTATAAGATCTACATGTACAAGGTTAATGCACCGTATGCTGGACTTAAAAGATTGTAAGCTAGGTTTGTCTTTGACTTTGCGGCTGTCCAATCTAAACCGTATATATGGTCCATAGAACCTCAAAGAATGTTTCCCGTAATGTAAAGTATTAAATCTGAGTACTTGTGATGAAAATTCTGATTTCTTAAGTGATTCTTGGATGACTAACATGATGACTGTAATGGAAAAAGAACAATTATGTATCCGAAGTAGTAAAAATGGAAGAAAGATAGCTATAAAGGCCCCCATCAAATTAATGATTTTTGCTGTAAGTACAAATAAAAAAAAGAAAAAAAATAGATTAAGTCGTATAACCATCAAATGACACCAGCCTCATAGATCCAGACGCAGCAGTCACGTACTGATCTTCGTTCCCGACGTGGCTGGTCATGAATGTCCTACTATAAACTACTTCAAAGTCACCTTCTTCGTCACTTTCCGTATCAGAATCAGTCTCGTACAGAAACCAGATCAGTGATCTGGTTCCTGTATGTCATGTATCTTGTTGTTGGCCTAAGTTTCAATCCATTTTTAGCCCTTGCAATCCATTGCAGCAGACGACGGGAAACAATATCAATATCAAACTATGAGGTGCTATGGACCATTATTTTTGGAATTCAATTGATGCAAGAAAGTTTTAGCTTTCTAAAAAGAAAGCAAATAGCATGACATAGTCCCGTGACGCTGGTGGTAAAGTTCCCGCTTTATCTCGAGTTGAATTGCCTCTTATAGTTCGAAAGGTCGAACGTTATCTATCCAAGTCCCTCACTGTCTGCACCGATGGGGGAGACATAGTTGAGAGAGCTGACAAAGGCATGAAAGTATTAGTCACGGGACAATAATATTCGTCTTTTCGTGATTGTAGCCCACTTCGAATTTGTAGTTCCTTCACCATGGCTCCAAAGCCTTGGGCGTAGTTCAAAGCACTAAATGTTTTTGTGTTGAAGTAAAAAACCGCTTGTAAGTTTTCCACCTGCGTCGTCAGAAGATTTTCGTACCTCGCTACAGACTTTGTCGACATCCTCTTTCTCGTCCATCAATGTTACCTTTTTCGCAGACGTACCTTTTTCGCGTATTTAAAAATCGTCAAAAGATATCCAAGGGTTTAAACACGAGCTTACTAGTCTCAATAGTTAGAACTTCAACATCAGTTACAAAAATGATTTCTCGTAAGTACAAATTAAATAGAAAGATGCTGATTTCTAGCTCAGCCATCAGAAATCAATTTATTTTAGACCAGATCAAGTGTTAAGAGTCACAGCTTTTGCTCCGACGATCTTGACGATCTTTTGGGTCTATGAAAACAGTACTTCCTTTTTCCGAACACAGAAATAATGTTAATAATAGAAGACGAAACATTCGTTAAGTTTTGAGCTGTCTACAAACAGTTCTATGACTGACGCTTAATTTCTGTTTGCCGGATACTACCCTGGTGCCCTTTGCATATAGCAATATCAGTTAATGTGGCACTGGGTCATCAGCGAGACAGAAAAAAGTCAGAAAGTAGCATTTGTTTTTGGAAAATTTTGTAGATTCATTAAAAACTATCACTTAAATAACTACTGATTTTTTGGCCAATATCAGTTAATTGATGACCCCATTGACACCCTCAGATAAGTATGTGCCGCCCCAGATGGTATGCCGTTTTGATCTAAAAACCGAAAACGGGTAAACATTTTGCCCAGTTTGGTCTGGAATCGGATATGGTTATCGAGGGAACTACCGGAGTGTATGAACGTCTTTGTTGTTTCAGTTCCAAATGTTTTAACAAAGTCTACGAGATCACAACTTAATCTACGTTCGTAGGACTTAGATCAACTTTTACGGCTTAGAAGGAGTGGAAATGATCAGCAGTATAAAAGCTTATTGGCTCAGTTACGCTGTAATCAGAATGATATGCTTGACTACAAGTCGAGCGCTTGTTCTAGTAAAAGGTGATCATATGCAAATTTCCTTCAAGTTGGCGGCAAATCTTTGAAAAGCTTCAAAGAATGAAATTTCTTAGGATAGAAATAGTTACTTACGATTGCGTTGTCATTGAAGGATATCGAATTAGGACTAAAAGATCCCATGGAAAGCTTTCCTTCCATTAAGCTGCAATCGGTTGGTTGAGAATATGCTTGTTTAAGTCAAAAAACCGCATAGTTTTAAGTACGGAACCAAGCTTTCCGCGGTTTAGGCAAAATGACACTGATCTATTAGCCTGTAACATCCGATTGCTTCGAGTCGTTTTCTCCTCTCAGTTACTGAGGGAGTAATAGCGACTCGAAGCAATCGGATGAAATTCAGGCTAACTGATCTATTTGGTACCAGATTGTAAGTGTGTCATGGTTAAACAAACACTCTGCTTAGCTATGACTGCAAGATCGGAAAGAAAGAAAGAAAGTAATCTACGAATTTGAAGTGGATTTTAAGAAATCTGTTATTTGGCATTCTAATGTAAGTAATGAATAATCTCGTACCCAGATCTCACTCTGTTTTACACTGAAAAGTGAGATCTCCCTTTCCCTTGGCCGTGGGAGATCTGGGTACGAGATTAAGTGATGAATAAACAGATGACATAATTTCTTACAGACCAGGTCTGAAAACGGGTATGGATTTTAGAGGCCTGGTCTGAAAACGTTAAAGAAAATGACATTTTTTGGTCTGAAATACGGTCAGGGTTTGGAGAACCAGGCAGCACACCCCACCAAGAATTCCTAGGAGTACCCCCCGGGGACTAGTTCAAGGTCGTTGAACAACATTTTGCCTACATTGTAACAGAGAGAAAGGCGCGATGGCTCCGCGAAAACCTGAATCGAAGTGGC